AGAAATTTCAGAGAAATTGAACATTTCCAGGCATGTCTAGTCTCTGCAGAACAACACGTGATATGAGTAAGGCGGAGGCAATTTTAAATGGCATAAGTTTGACGGTTGTCAGGTTTAACCGTCAAATATTGTCTTACTATATTTGACGGTTAACTACATAACCGTCAAACTTATATAAAAAAATTTTAAAAAATTTCCTAATTTAAATATGATATTTTAAGTTTAACGGTTTTATATATAACCATCAAATATATTATTCATATATTTGATGGTTTTTGTTGAAACCGTCAAATATTATTTTTCCCAGTTACCGCCTTTCCTTATTCAATGGATTTTTCAATAACCGTCAAATATATATGCATCAAATATGCGTAATTCTGTACTAGTGAAAGTAAAGAAAGGAAAACAGAGAATCACATCCAAAAGCATGAGAAGACAATTATTCATAGACAATGACTAATTCAAAAAGAATTATTGTTAAAATGGGAATATGACTTATTTTTCTTAAATGTGACTTATTGTCGGCTCTTATCTATGAATAATTTTCTTCCAAGGTCTTAGGATGTGGTTTTGGCAAAGGAAAGACATCAGGTATTATCCACTAGCACAAGACTAATCTCTAGCCACCTCCAATAATAGCAATAATGGAAGAGGGGTCTCATCACTCAATTCACTAGGCACAATCCCTTTAACAAAGCTTTACTCGCCCAATCAGCAACTTGGTTAGCTTCTCTGGTAATCCAAACAAATTGGAAATTCCTTACCAAATTTCTCTTATAGAGGATATTTTCAATGAGAAAATCACACCTCCATTCCAGAGGAGCCTGGTTATCATTAATAAGATCAATCAACACTTTATTATCAGATTCAAAGATTACCTTGTCAAGAGATTCTACAATGGCAAAACTCAATGCCTTTGATAGAGCTAAAAACTCCCCGATAAAAAATAAACATTCCAAAATTCAGCATGGTCATCTAGTAGCTAACCAAATGAACCTCTTACCACAAAGGCAATAGAAGCTCTACCTTCACTTTCAACAAAAGAATAGTCCGAATTAATTTTAATGGCATTAAGCTTCCCATCATCTTTTCAACAGATTGGAATAACCCAAGGAACTGGAAGAAATCACATTACTATTGCAAAAATTGGAATTCCAGAATTCAACCAACTTTTTTCATTCACATTCCGCACAACAAAGCAGGGATCTAGGCTTTTGTTTTGTTTTTTTGTTTTTTGTTTTGGCAACATATTGTTCAAGTTTGATTGCAATGTAGATGAGACTGCCATGCATGTTGTTCAAGATTGTGAAATTGCGCAAGATACATGGAAACGGATAGTCAAGCTTGATTGAAGAGATTTTATGCAGCATCATGACCCCCTGGAACGGATCATATGGAATGCTGAACATGAACTGGGATCGATCCATCAAAAAAGGTACCGTGGTGAACTATTTTTGGATATTTATGCCAGGAACTTTGGACTGTGATATGTAGAAACATGATAGGGGATGAAGAACCCATGTTTCAGATAAACTCTAGCAAATGCTTTTCAAAAGTGATGGCTGACGTTAGCTTGTTGAAGAAGTTGACTTTACATAAACACTAATTAATCGTTGGCACCCATCAAATAAGGGATATGTTAGAAAAGATGAAGATGGTTCAATCAAAACAAATGGCTCGCTATATTGTGGAAATACTTGACATCACACAAGGTCCAGAACTATGTTGGGAAAAAAATGGTTTTAGAAAAATTGAAGTCTTTTATAATTTTGTCAAAGCGATCAATCTCATCTATATACAGAGGCTCTAGTCTTCATCATCTGTACAAAGATATTATCTAGTGCTTTAGTTTGGTTAATAGGGATTGGGTAGTTTCAATTAATTTTTTTTTTGTAGAGATGTTATTATACTAGAGATAATTCTTTAGAAGGAAAGCACATGAGCTTGAGAGAACCTACTTCATCTTTGATCATTTCCCCCTTTTTATCAAGAGGAGGAGAATGATGACTGATCTATCTCTTCTTTTGTAGTCTTCTGCAATTCGTTTTATCATTTATATGAATACATTTCAGTTTGATTAAAAAAAGCAATTAAATATGGTTAATGAAGGAATAAAACTGGCTATCAAAACTGATAAATAGATAATTATGAAGTTTGGAAGATATCTTCAATAAAGTGCCCAATACTGCACTTAACTCGCGCACAAGGGGAAATTGACTTTTTTCAGCTTAGTTGGCCTATCAACGTGCACGTGAACCACTCATCTTCTTGGCCTATTCATTTGCTCAAATTTTCATCTTAGTAATATGCATTAAGCTGCTTCCTCTCACTTGAGCAGTATAAGACTTTTCTTCATACACACAAAAACTACATGTGCATTGTTATGAGTTTCATATCAAAGGAGCCTCATGCCTTAAAATAGACTCTCCCTTTATATACTTGTACTCATAACATTTTTCCATTGTTCTTCACATTAATCCTTTGTAGTTATATAAGATTATACATTAATTATTAATTGAAAATTGAAAATTAAATAGTGTGAGTAAATATGATAAATTACTCGCCAATTGTTTTATCATTTAAGATATGTATAAGGAACTAAGGATTTATAAGTAATGAATTTAGACTATAATTTAGTTGATCCAGTGTACCACATCATTCATGCTCTATCCAATAAAAACATGCCATGTGAGATAACTATAAATATAAATTGATTCTACTATTGATTATAATAGAGAGAGAAAAGACAATAAATTAAAAAGGCTTTCTATTGATAAAATAAAATCATTAAAAATAATGAAACGTTAGTTTTTATTTGATTGAACTGGCGCAACTTGTCATATTTTTATTAGATAGAGCTATGGATGATGTGGTATACTAGATCCATCTAAAAATTTCTCATTAGTCATCTATAGACAACTTAACTAACACGTTTGTGCAAGACAATTCTTTGCGTCAATAATGCTTTTTGTTTTTTTAAAGCAATTTGCGTTGATGATTTCTACAGACTCTTTAAGTGCGCGTTTGATCCATTAAGTGGCATTGAATAATTGATGAAAAGAAAATGTAAGTTGAAAATAGAGAAATTAAAGGTGATGATGATTGTTGTCCTGTAGTTTTTTATTAGTGTCATATAGTTCCTTTTTCTTTTTGAAAATAAAGGTTACCACTTTTTATTTTGAGAGATAAAAGTTAACCACGGGAAGTTTAATAAGTTCTTATTCATTAGAAATTACTTCTATAAATAATGAGAAATTTCGTTTGGCACAAAAGGTTAGATTATATTTTGGGTCACTTATTATATTTGTATCAAAATATGATCTTCAACATAAGACATTTGTTGTTTCATATATTAGCCTGGAATAACTTTACCCCTTGGGGTTATGCTAACATTGTTATTTTCATTAAGAGATTGATATTACACAAATGGCTACTATAAAGAGTTCTGACCAGCAGTAAATCAAGCAAAGTGCTATAAAGTAGAGCTCTCAATGGACATCAGTTCTCAAACATAAATGTGTTGTTACGAACCTTATATTAAAGAGCTTTGTAAGTAAAGTGTAATTTATAAGTTTAAAAATATTCTTTTCCAATAAACAAAAGTTTAAGATATATATATTACATGAAGATACTTTAATTACATATGACAATCAACGCGTTTCATAAAGGTGATTTTGTTTAAGTAATGAATTTGCAATTTAGTCATCGACGGACACAGCTTTAACCATGATCTCATTTTCTAAAGACACCTTTTTTTAAAAAAAGTCAATCATTTTTAAAGTTACTTTTGACTTTTGAGGGTTTGTTTGATACGTTATTTGATATTGAATAATGATGAAAGAATTAGAGGGGAAAACGGAAAAATAGAAAAAATTGAAATTGGTGATTGTTCTATTGGAATATTTTTGGAAATGAAAAGATATCTTTTTGAAAAATTATATCCTTATAAATTGAGGACTTTTTATGAAGGGTTATGTAGTGAGTTATTGCTGACTAGATTGATCATATCTCTCTAATTTTGAAATGCACCTTTAGAAAGTTATAAAATTAAAAAGTATCACTTAATAAAAAGAAATGTATTTTAGAAAAACTCCATATATTAAAACAATATTGTTACCTTTCCTAAAATATTATTATAAATAACCTTTGGCTAATATTAGTTGTTAAACTACGAACCAATATAAGATTATGTCTTTTATGTAAAGATATTTTATTACTTCAAAGCCACCATTTTAAGGCAACACTTCATCACTTAAAAGTGTTGCCCGCCCATGCCTTGAGGATATCCTTCATAGCTTTCTTCTTATAAGTAGACCTCAAATGAGAAATAATTAGTTTTCCTATTTGAGGTCTACTTATAATTCTCCCAAAAAAATATTTGTGGTCAGTTTTTATATTTGAACTAGAATATCTACTATTAATGTATATGACATTTTATAAATGATATTTTATTTTAAAAAAATAAAATTATACCAAACAATGTATTTAAAAGATATAAAATTATTTAAGAAAACGCGTTAAAACTTAACTATAAATAAATGGAGATAATAAGGAATTTTCAAAGATTGACGTGATTTTTATGCACTTCTTCCCAGACATAAGACTTGTACGCAATTATGCTATCTCATATATAATTAGCACGGCAATATTATATGTCTAGCTATCCCACACCAAAGAAAGTATACATTCCATGAAGTTTCTGGATGATCATGGCCGGTGACTTTATAATAATGAGAGAAGAACTTAAGCAAAAATCAGAGATGTAAGGATAAAAAAATCAATTTTCTTGACTTTGATTTCACTGCACCGTCAATGAAGTACAACAGTAAAAAAAAAAAAAAGACGTGTGAAAATATTTAGGAAAATGCAATGGCCAAACCTAGCTAGCTTTCTATAAAGACCCTTCTTTTGCACTCATTTGATCGTAAACTCCATTCATTAACTAATTATTTATGGCATACTTCAAGGTTATCTCAGTTCCTCTGACAATGGTTGTAATAATGGTCTTACTCCTATTTTATGATGCTGCTGCCTTTGTAGAAGACGAGAAACATGCCTTAATTCAGAGCAATTGGTGGAGTTATCATTATACCAACGATAGCTACCACAACATCGCTGTCAACCCTTGTGAATGGGAGGAGATAACTTGCAATGAATTTGGAAGTATTACCAAGCTTTGGAGACCAATTATCCCTCGAAAGCAGCCTCGCCTTGTAGATCTTAACTTAACCGCATTTCCTAATCTAGAATACCTAGGTCTATTTGGAATGGGGTTGGTGGGTATCATTCCAACTCAGATTGGAAGTCTTCACAATCTTATTGATTTGGACTTGTATAATAACAATCTTACTGGTAAGTTGCCTTGCACACTTATTAATTAATTTTAGTCATTTAGAATTGTTGGATTTGTGTGGAAACAAGGATTTGTTGCCTTCTTTAATGTAATGTTTTACAAAATTATAAGAGCTTATTGGTTCTTAAATAATATGTAAGTTTTATAGCAAATTATAAATCTAGATGACTGAGAGTTATCCAATTATAATTTCTAGTCCTACTACTTTGTCTATAAATTTGATTTCGTTTGTTTGTGATTGAAATTACAGGTATCATTCCGACTCAGATAGGAAATCTTTACAATCTCATCTACTTGTTCTTGGATGAAAATAAACTTTCTGGTCAGTTACCTTTCACACTTACCAATCTTAATTAGAATGACTGGATTATTTGAGTGGAAACAAGTTTGGTCAAGATACTTCAAATTTGGGTTTTATAACCACTCCCACTAGTGGCAATTCTAGAAATGGAGAAAAATATTTACCATACATATACACTATTTTTTTTAAAATTTCATAATTATATTTATCAAAACTAATATAAAAAATTTAATAAAATTGGATGCTGATGAAACAATGTAAGAAAAAAAAAATTATTTATATATATTTATATTTATACGTTAAATAGGAGCAAATTGAATTTTTATGGGGTCACGGGTGAACATCTACATGGATGAGGGGAAAAGAACTAAAATTTTAAGTATACTCTATGCAGTTTACACGTTTTTAACCTCAATTGTTATTTAACATCTATATGGGCTTGTCTAATTATAGTTACGAGAGAGTTAGACAAGCTTTGGTAAAACCTGTCTTTTAACTTTGGGTTTCATAAGCGATTTCAATTATCCATATTTGTATGCAAATTCTTTTAAACATTATATGCTCTCTTCAATTTAATCTTTGACTAAATTGTAAGTAACTGATCATGACTCTTAAATAAAATACTAGTTTTATAACTAACAAGTTTAGCTGAATTTGAGTTCCAATAATATTTCTAATCCTGTTACTTTTCCTTTAAATTTGATTTCATTTGTTTGTGATTGAAATTACAGGTATAATTCCGACTCAGATAGGAAGTCTTCAAAATCTTACCTATTTGTACTTGGATAAAAATAAACTTACTGGTCAGTTATTTTCACACTTAGCAATCTCACTCAATTAGATGGTTGAATTTGAGAGGAAACAAGTTTGGTGAAACCTTTGTTTCAAGTTTGGGTTTTATAACTACTCTCTCAATTGGCAAATCTTGATGTGCGAGCAAAATATTTACCAAATATAAATACTATTTTTTTTAAAATATCATCATAAAATTTATCAAAATTAATACAACAAACAATTTAATAAAAGTGAATATTAATGAAACAATGTAGGGAAAAAGTTCTATATATATGTAGTTTCTTTTAATTTTAGGTTTTATAAAACAATCTCAAATACCTATAATTTTCCTCAATTTTTTTTTGCACATTAAACCCCCTGTTAAATTTAATTTTTGACAAAAAGATCTCCATGTTTTCCTTGAATACAAATAATTGGTTGTGATTGAAAAATTTTAATCACTTTGAATTTGAGTTCCAATAATATTTCTTTGTCTTTAATTTGTTTTAATTCATGTGATTGGATTTATAGGTAACATTCCAATTCAGATTGGAGCTCTTCAAAATCTCATAGATTTAAGCATGTCTAATAATAACCTTGTTGGTGAGTTTCCTACTATACTTACCAACCTCCCTCAATTAGAAAGGTTGGATTTGAGTTCCAACAACATTTCTGGTCATTTTCCTATAATAAAAGATTTGACACATTTGGATTATTTCAATTTATCAAATAACAAGATTTGTGGAAGCATACCACGAGAAATTGGAAATCTCTCACTCCTACAATCTCTAGATCTCTCACAAAATAAGCTTAATGGAAGTTTACCAAGCTTCAAGTCAAATTATCTTTTCGTGGCCAACTTTAGTCACAATAAGATAAGTGGCAATATACCAAGTAACTTGTGCACATATTCAAATATGCCATATGTAGATTTGAGCTATAATAATATCATTGGTAATATACCAAAAGAACTTGGTCAGCTAAAAGTCATCAACTTCTCATACAATTCCCTTACCGGCCATGTCCCAAGGGAAGTATATTGCAAATTTCCTCATGACATATTATATGGTAACAAAGAGTTACTTGGTCTAGAGAAGAATCAATCTTGCTCCAATCATAAAAATATGTATTCTTACATGAAGATCATTCTTCCCATGGTAGTTTTTTTTATCATCGTCCTCTTTGTTTTTGTCCTTTTTCGGACTTTGAAGAAGAATAAGAAAACCAAAATTGAGAGAAGAGAACCAAAGAATGGAGATTTATTTTCCATATGGAATTATGATGGTAAAATTGCATATGAAGATATCATTAAAGCAACAGAGGACTTTGACATCAAATATTGTATTGGAATAGGTGCCTATGGAAGTGTTTACAGGGCACAACTTCCAAGTGGGAGAATTGTTGCATTGAAAAAACTTCATAGAAGTGAATATGGAAATCCATCTTTTGCTAAAAGTTTTCACAATGAAGTGAAGATGTTGACTGAAATTCGACATCGTAACATTGTAAAACTTCATGGTTTTTGTTTGCACAACCAATGCATGTTTCTCATATATGAATACATGGAAAGAGGAAGCCTCTTTTATGTATTGAGTAAAGAAGATGAAGCTAAAGAGATGGATTGGAGCAAGAGGGTAAATTCCATTAAAGGAATAGCAAATGCTTTGTCCTACATTCATCATGATTGCACTCCTCCAATTACACATCGAGACATAACAAGTAGTAATGTATTATTAAACTCAAAGATGGAGTCTTTTGTCTCAGACTTTGGCATAGCTAAAATCCTTGATCCTAATTCATCCAATCAAACTCTTCCAATGGGTACATGTGGTTATGTAGCTCCAGGTTAGTTTTATCTCCCTAAGATATTCCTCATATTGTATTGTGTTAAGTTTCATATAATTAATTTTTTATTTATTAATTGCAGAGCTTGCATACACCTTAGTTGTGACAGAAAAATGTGATGTTTATAGTTTTGGAGTGGTAGCGTTAGAAACAATCATTGGAAGGCATCCTGGAGACTTAATACTATCTTTGACAGAGATATCTAGTAAAAGCATTTTGCTAAGAGATGTCATAGACTCACGTCTCCCACTTCCTTTACGAAGAGATGCTCAAGATGTGATTTTGTGTGTCACAATAGCACTAGCATGCTTGCACCCCTCACCAAAATCTCGACCATCAATGAAGCAAGTCTCTCACAAGCTTTCATTTTCCAACCTTGCATTAACTATTCCATTCAATGATATTTCATTCCAATATTTAATGAACCATGATGTACATATATTATAGTAAAATGCTAGTGAAAGTTTGATATATTCTTTATTTATTTCAATTAATATATATTTGTTTGATAGTCTCTAAAAGCCTTAATTTCTCATGTACATATTGTTAAATAAGCTAGTCACTTAAGAGGGAGTGAATTGGATATATGTTCTCTAGATCTTTGAAATCTTTTCCAAATGAAAAAAAGAGTTTTGTATCAAAACAAAGTAATGATGAGCTTTAAAATAAAATGAAGATCAAGGAAGAAGAAGCTTGACACGAGATTTATATTGGCTCATTCCAACTATTTAACTTACATTCAATCCTCAAGATCAGACTTGAATACAAGCTTCAAAGGGTATTTGAAATCATATTACAACCACAATACTTTATTATTCTTGAAGTCTCTTTACGACTACTTACAATCATTACAACAGATTTGACAATATTTGATAGTGATTTGATGTGACGATTAAAAACCATCATGTATGGTCTCATCATTTATTAGGGTCACCAATATTTGATAGTTATTTAACCATCATATATGATTCTATATATCTGACAGTTATTTGAATAACTGTCAAATATGCATTCCATATATTTGATGGTTATTTTATAACCATCAAATAGTCAAGCCACATATTTGATGTTTACTTGTATAACTATCAAATAATAACCGTCAAATATATGGCTCTAATATTTGACGGTTATATAAGTAACCATCAAATATGTGGATCTAATAGTTGACAGTTATACAAGTATCTATCAAATTTGTTGTGGTATTCTTTTTAAAAAACGTGAGAGTTGCTTTTTACACAGCCCTTTGCAATCAAAATTACATATAATAAGAGAATAAAATTTAAAAAAAGAAATTATATTTATCAAATTATAAAATCCAATAAATTATAAATAATAATCATATAATTTGTGTTTGTATTTCATGGCTTAGTTACTCAAAATAGGTACATATATAGATGCTACAGGAATGATCAAATTTGATCGTGTCGAGCAAAAAACTAAAACAGGAAAAACCCCATATATTTAGGGATATAAAAATAAATAGCAAATATTCTAATAACCAGAATATATTAGGTAACTAGGGAAGACTTTTCTAATGGGCCCAAGAGACAGCAAGCCTACTTCTAAATCCTTTGAACTTGTCTTATGTCAAAGATTTTGTCATTACATTAATAGTCTATTGACTTGAAGAAATATATGCTAAGTCAATAATTTCTCCCTCAATTTTTTCTCTGATGAAATGCTGATCAATTTCTACATGTTTCATTCAATCATGTTGAATTCAATTTTTGGCAATTTTTATGGTTGACATGTTATCACACCAAACCTTGATTGTAGAATTCACATCCATCTTCAACTCCCTTAGAAGTATGATAATCCACATTCCTTCATATACCCTTAAGGATAATGCTCGGTATTCAAATTCTATCAAGCTTCTTGATACAACAGGCTATTTTTTACTTCTCAATGTCACAAGACTACCCTAGGGGAAATACCTAGTAGTAGAGTGTCTATCACTTTTTGAACCTCCCCAATCTGCATCAGTAAACATCTCTATACTTTTAGAGTTATCTTTCTTAAAGAACAAGCCTTGTCCTGGTGTTTTCTTTAGGTATATGAGAATCCAATACAAGGCTGTCATATGTTCAGTTTGAGGACTACTAGAAAAATGAATCACCACACTTACAGGATAGCAAATATAAGGTCTTGTGTGGGACAAATAGATCAATTTTTCCACCAATTTCTGGTATCTTTCTTTCTCAATTGCTTTACCATTTGGCCTAATAATCAATTTTTGATTAAGCTCTATAGATGTGTGTGTTGGTTGAGCCCTCAACATTTCAATTTCTTTTAGCAAATCAATAACATACTTACATTAAGACATGCTAATCCCTTTCTTAGTCCTAGCTACCTCCATACCTAAGAAGTATCTTAGATTTCCAAGATCCTTGATGTCAAATTCAATAGCAAGTTTATTTCTTAAGTTGACAATCTCCTTAGCATCATTTCTTGTGAGAACAATGTTATCCATATATACAATAAGAGCAGTGATTTTTGAACCACAGTGTTTCACAAATAAGGTATCATATGCTTAGTATTGAGCATATCCTTCTTTCTTTATTGCTTGATTGAACTTGTCAAACCAAGCCCTTGGAGACTGTTTTAGTCCATAGAGAGATTTGAAAAGTTGGCAAACTTTATTTGAGTTTCCTGTATTCCTCAAGGCTACAAGTACCTCCATATATACTTCCTCTTTGAGATCACTATTTAGGAATACATTTTTAACATCCAATTGATGTAATGGCCAATCCAAATTTGTAGCAATAGATAACAGAACATTAATAGTGTTAAGTTTAGCTACTAGAGCAAAGGTTTCTTGGTAATCGATACCCGTAGATTTGTGTGAACCCTTAAGCAACTAGATGAGCTTTATATTTATTGATCATCCCATCTGGGTTATACTTGATTGTGAAGACCCACTTGCTATTCAAAATTGATTTTCCCTTAGGTAGCTTTATAAGCTTCCAAGTTTTGTTCTTGTAAAGAGCTTGTAGTTCCTCATTAATAGCTTCTCTTCCATTTTAGATCTGCTACAACTTCATCATAACTTTTGGGTATCTTGACCTTCTCAACATTAGAAACAAAGGTTCTTAGATAAGGAGACAACTTCTTATATGAAACATACCTACCAATGAGATATTGAATGCAACTCCTTTTCCCTTTTCTTAAGGCAATCGGCCAGTGTAAATCTTCAATACTTGGTTTACATGTAGACTCTTGACTTTACCTTGTTGTAGTAATAGACTCATATATACCATGTTGCTGTTTAGAGGCATTTAAACTATAGTCTCATCTGAATTTGTTTTAGAAACAAGATTCAATAGCTCAAATGGATTAATATCTTGAAATCTGGACCTGGTGGATAAAGATTCAATGATGGTAGGTAGTAAGTGAGAATTGAAGGAAAAGATAAGTCTGATTGGGATAAGTATGATTAGGAATGACGTATTGAAGTATGGGGCTCATGCTAATCAAAATTAGTGAAATAATTTTTCTTGATTTCACAAATGATCTATTCATACTTAGAGATCTCAGAAGTCTTCTCCACCTAAATGAGTGATTTAGGAAAGAAGGATTGATTTTCAAGAAATTTGACATTCATAGTCACATAAACCTAATTAGTAGAAGGAGAAAAACATGTGTAGCCCTTTTAAGATGAAGAATATCCCAAAAAAATGCATTTTAAAGTATGAGAATCAAGTTTACTTCCTTCGTCAGTGTAAATAAAAGCAATGCAGCCAAACACTTTAAGAGAAATGGATGAAATTAAAGGAGAATTAGGAAAATGTTCAAGAAATTTCTCAAAAGGAGTGGAAAAATTTTAAGGTTTAGAAGGCACACGATTGATTAAATATGCAGCAGTAAGAATGGCTTCCCCCCAAAATCTATTAGGCACATTACTGTTCATCATGAGCACATGAGCAACTTTGAGAAGGTGCCTATTTTTCCTTTCAGAAACACCATTTTATTATGGAAAACATGTGCAAGACATTTGGTGATGAACACCATGTAAGTTACAAAATTTTATAAATTGAGAATTCAAATACTCCCTTCCATTATCACTCTGAAGAATCTAAATTTTAGTTTGAAATTAAGTTTTGACAAACATGTAGAAATTTTTGAAAATAGAGAAAACTTCAAACTTATTCCTCATAAGAAAGATCCATGTTAACCGAGTGTAATGATCAATAAATGAAATAAACCAACGGGCTTTAGAATTAGTTTCAATTTTAGATGGACCCCATATATTACTATGGATAAGAGTAAATAGCTTAGTGGGATTGTAAGAATGACAAGGATAAGAATTGCGAGTTTGTTTAGCAAAGTGGCAAGTTTCACAATGAAAATCAGTAAAAATTTTATTACTAATATTAGGAAATAAAGCTTGCAAGTAGCTTAGACTAGGGTGGCCTAACCTAGAATGCCACAAATGAACATCATTCATAGACATAGAAGTAGAGACACAAGAAATACATTCTTTTGGTAGGGTTCCTTAAAGATAATAGAGTCTATGCCACTCCTTAGCATTGCCAATCACCTCCCCTAAGGCTAAATCCTGAAAAACACACCCAGATTTGTTAAAAACAACAAGATAATTAATCTGATGTACAATTCTACACACAGATAGCAAGCTACACTTAATGTCAGGAACATAGAAAACATTTCTTAATATTATTCTTTCAAAAATGATCATTGTTTCTGTTCCCATAACCTTAGCAAATTGCCCATTAGCTACTTCTATCATATCATGTTCTTTGAATTTAGTAAATTCAAAAAAAAATCCTTGTAATAAGTGATATGATCTATAACCCTAGAATCTACCATTAAAAAGTTCTTAGAAGAAGAAGCACCACTAAGTGCTTTCGTAAGGGTAGTACTTGCTTAGGCTAGAGTAACCGAAGGGATATATGTCTCACTAGAAGTAGGAGCAGTTTGATTACCATGTTTGTCTAAGATTTTCCAAAGGACCAGAAGCTCCTCTATACTTAAAGACCTATTATCTAGTATAGCTAGTCCCACCATCATGCCTTTATTGTTACTTTTTGGTTTTCTGCTTGTTGGAGGGCTTACCATGTAATTTCCAACAAACTTCCTGAGTGTGGCCCTTTTTATTGCAATGATCATACCCCCGGGCAGTTTTATTCCCTTTAGAATCTTCTTGTGTTCCATAAACAGACAAGGCTAAGACTTCTTGAGGAAAAGGAGAAGTAGAGATAGAAGAAGACCCTATTAGAGATTTAGTGAGTACGTTCCAGCTGTCTTCACATTTAATCATGTTGAAGGCTTCTTCTAGTGCTGGCAGTGGCTTAACACTCATAATTCAGCCACGAGCATCATTAAATAAGTATTTAAGGCCCAAAAGAAACTCATAACAGCATTTTGGTCAACTAGTTGCTTGTAGTATAACTCATCTTTAGTGCACGACCAATATGAAACTCATATAAGTCAATTTACTACCATAAGCGTT